AGAACTGACGTCAGCGCGAGAGTATTATGGTCTGTCGTGCGCTGGCTGCTGCTTTTCTGCTCCTGGAAGCGGCCAAGGAGGGAAGCGGCGAGTCAACATGGAGCTTTCGGCGGTGGGGGAGCGGGTCTTCGCGGCCGAGGCCCTCCTCAAGCGGCGCATACGGAAAGTAGGTGCCCTGGGCTTCGGGCCGAGCCCGGCTGGGCCCTCCCCTCCCGGCCCGCGTTCCCTCCCCCTGCTGCAGCCCAGCTTCCCTTCCCCCAGGTCCCAGCCGCGGCCGCGGCCGTGGCGGCGGCGGCGGCCCTGAGCCCAAGCGCTTTCCTTAGACTTGCAGCGATGCACAGATTGCATGGGTGAGGGGCGGGTGGGGGGTGAGTTCCGGTGCACGCACTTTGTGCAGCGTTCCATGCAGGGGTGATGCCGCGGGCGCGTGCCTTTGGCGAGGGGATTTCGTGCATTCATTTGGTGCATGCATTTTCTGCATGGATTTCTTCTGGCCTCGTCGTGCATTTCTCGCCGTGCACACACACACACATTTTTCCCTTTGCATCCGCAGGGACGCATGGAATACCTCGTGAAATGGAAGGGCTGGTCGCAGAAGTAAGTAGGTTATGTGATCCCCCGCCCCACACTGTTATCCGGGAGGCTCCTTTCTTCCTCTTTTCCCTCTACGTTGAGATAGTGTACGGTACAGCGAGAAAAGTTACGCGCCTCCCGCCCGCCCTCTGCCTGCCCCCTGCCCCCGGGCCTGATGTGCCCCTCTTCCCGGTTCCCTGCAGGTACAGCACATGGGAACCCGAGGAGAACATCTTGGATGCCCGCTTGCTCGCTGCCTTTGAGGAAAGGTACAGGCCTTCCCAGCCCACTGCTCACTCCAGTTGCCCTGGCCTGGAGCCAGCCTGCACTACTGAAGCCCCACTGGGTTTCCTTACGCACACACCCCTTCCTCCGTCTCCTTCTTTGCAGGGAACGAGAGATGGAGCTCTATGGCCCCAAAAAGCGAGGACCCAAGCCCAAGACCTTCCTCCTCAAGGTAGGGCGGCCTGATCCAGTGGTGGGCACCGGGTGTTGCAGAGTCCTCTGTGTGGGGGGGGTCCTGAGGGCTGGGAACCAATGGGCTGTCCACAGGCATTGCCTGTTTTTAGCTCTGGAAGGAGTCCCCTGATAGGATGTCACTAAGTCAGTGACAGTGACAAGAGGTGTGTTGTGGAGAGGGGCTCAGCCACACTCGCTTATCCCCACAGACACCCCCAGGAGGACATCGAATCCCATACACAAAGTGTGCTTCCTGCAGAGGGCCACTTGTGTGCGAGTGCTCTGCCTGTCCCCTAGACTGCCACCCCAAGAAGCCTCCCCCCCATACTTATACCCCCAAGGATGGAGGGAAGAGGGGAGGCCAGAAGAGGTGATGGGGTCTTGGGGGCAGAGCCCTGCTCTACTCTTGACGCAGCTCTCTCTTCCACAGGCCCAGGCCAAGGCCAAGGCCAAAACTTACGAGTTCCGAAGTGACTCAGCCAGGGGCATCCGGATCCCATACCCCGGCCGCTCACCTCAGGACCTGGCATCCACCTCCCGGGCCCGCGAGGGCCTTCGGAACATGGGTCTGTCCCCTCCGGGGAGCAGCAGCAGCAGCACCTGCCGAGCAGAGCCGCCTCGGGACAGGGACAGGGACAGGGAGCGAGAGAGGGAGCGAGAACGTGAGCGGGAGCGCGGCGCTGGCCGTGCTGAAGACAAGCCAAGCTCACCGGGTGACAGCTCCAAGAAGCGAGGCCCCAAGCCCCGGAAAGAGCTCCTGGACTCCTCGCAGAGGCCGCTGGGAGAACCCAGTGACGGCCTTGGAGAGTACCTCAAGGGCCGGAAGCTGGACGACGCCCCTTCTGGGGCGGGAAAGTTCCCAGCAGGCCACAGCGTGATCCAGCTGGCCCGAAGGCAGGACTCGGACCTTGCGCAGTGTGGCGTGGCCAGCCCCAGTGCCGTGGAAGCTCCGGGCAAGCTGGCTGTGGACACCTTCCCGGCCAGGGTCATAAAGCACAGGGCTGCCTTCCTGGAGGCCAAAGGCCAGAGCGCCCTGGACCCCGGTGGACCCCGGGTCCGGCATGGCTCGGGCACCCCTGGCTCCATGGGGAGCCTGTACCGGGACATGGGGGCCCAGGGAGGAAGGCCCTCCCTCATCGCCAGGATCCCAGTGGCCAGAATCCTGGGGGACCCCGAAGAAGAGTCCTGGAGCCCCTCACTGACCAACCTGGAGAAGGTGGTGGTCACTGACGTGACCTCAAACTTTTTGACCGTCACCATTAAGGAAAGTAATACGGACCAAGGCTTTTTCAAAGAGAAAAGATGAGGTGCTGGCCGGGTGGGTCCCAGAGCAGCAACCAGGAGGGCGAGGTAGCCCGTGGTTGGCGTAGTGCTTTTTGTTTCTGTGTGGGATGCAGCTGTCTGGCAGGTCTTGTCCCAAACATCACACACCCCAGCCCTTTCCATTTGTTCCTTCCCACCACCACCCCCTGCACCCCCAGTTTCTGTTGGAAAGATGATCTGTAGAGCTCTATTTTCTATTAGATGTAAATATGTTATTTAAGAAAAAATATCTAAATATATATATTTCAACTCTTGAAGTTGTTTTATTTAAGGAAGGAGATAGAGAAGGAGACTGTGTGGTTTAGTTGGGGACAGACAGGCTGAGCTGGCACAGCAGGGGCCCTTAGCACCCAGGGTACTAGGAAGGTTGGGGACCTGGGCCTCCCAGTCCTGGCACTGCTCTCTGAGGGTGTCTGCAGGGACTCAGCCCGTCCCCCCTCCCCTCCCCACCTCCCATGCCAGACCCCTGGAACCAAGGCCTCATCCCCATTGGCCAGGCAGGCCAACAAAGGGGGGGCTCCCCAATCCGAAAAAGGGGAGTAGGTCCTGTTTTTCTTTTCTTTCCTTTTTGAGATTAAGACGTTTATTAGGGGAAAAGGTTTTAATTGAAAAACTTTGTGGTGTGTGATGTTGAAAGTTAAAAGTCGCAGGTGGGTGGGAGCTGGCGGCTTTTCCCAGGCCCACCCGCCGACAAGCACTTTATGGGAGAGGCGCGTGCGTGGTACACGTCGTGTGTACGCCTCTGGATAAAGCTCCCGTGTCCCTCTTCCTGTCCTTACTCCACAGAAAGAAAGAAACCCAGCGAATCTGTTTACATCCCCCAAATGCCAGGATACGTTAGGAGGCTTGCGTGTCCGCGGGACTTGGAGACAGTCGTTCCGCCAGCGAAGTGTTTGGGGTGGACTTTGGCTTGTCATGTCTCCTGGCGTCCCCAGGAGAAGGGACGAC